CCGCGCCACCGGGAGCGGACGCCCACAGTGCACAACCCTTTTCACTCGTCAATTCTTTTCCAACAACTGAATACTTCTCGTACAGTCAGCGTTTGTTGGTCAACATGAACGACGATAAAATCGTTGGCGCCCCCTACGTCGAACTGGACGCAAGAATGAACCTGCATCGGTACCTGGACATTGTTTGAGCTCTTGGGAAAAGAAAACCGCAGAAACGCTGCGTACGTGAAAGTGATCTTTCCAACTTTGCTGGGCTTCATGCAAAAATATCGCTGTTCTCTTGAACTGCTCCGCAAAGTACCCATCAGGAGGAGAAAGAAGCAGCATCTGTCCGAACATCAGTAAATGGGCGGACAACAAACTTAGAACGAACATGGCGATTGTTCCCTGCGCTGAACACCTCAGACACTTTGCCGAAGAACGTCAACAAGAAGGGGCGTCCGCCCGCTCCACCCTCCAACACTCTCCGCAACTCACTGTTGCCAGTGTCCAGCAACGTATCATCAAACGTGAGGAGATTCTGGCTGCGGAACATTCGAGGGTCGTGGTCGTTTAAGAAAGTCGCCATATGCCTACTCAGCAATACGACCTGTGCTTTATGTACGGCGACCACTGGCAGTCGACGTCGACTACGCATTTTCACAAGATCACATCAATTATCGAGCTACCAACTGCGGCTTCTTCCGCCAGGAACATGTAACAAAACCACTTTTCAGGATTCACACTTGAGTTTACAACATTGGGTAGGACTTCGAACAGAACAGTCGACTGAGAACCTTAGCTCGTATAGTCCAGTGCTGCGCAGAGATCTTTCAGTTTCATAGAAGCTCCGGCAAACTAGACCCACCGTCTCCCAAGCACCGCCGCCGAGGACAACGCGGTCTTCACGGAGTACCATTCCTTCTACATGAACCATCACTCCAATTTCAAGGTGAGGACATTCTGTAGACGCTATGGGAATGAACTTGGAATAGTTATGGTCGACTTTGGTCTAGCAATGATCAACGAAGAGCGATAACATAATGGCTGAAATACCTTCAGCACCTCGTCTTCCGCATATACAACGAAGAGATAACCAGTTTCGTTGTCCAAGCCTGGTACGCAACATAAATGGACGCATTTTGGTAACTGAAAACCAAAAAAGGTCAAAAGAGAAGTGAGCTCGAACAGATCTTCCTCTTACATGCACGACGGACTCCGCAGCGTGGATAACTTCATCAATGGCGAAGACCGTGCGATCGAAGATTTCGCTGTATACCCCAGGAGGACGAGTCAGCATTAACACCTGCCCTCTTCAGACTTCGGAGCGCCGCAGAAAGATGCTCCACACCTTGGACTTTCTTCCACATGTCTCCTGTCCCATGTAGGACACGATGCCAACGGCGCTGAGCAAAAATGGTTCCATAGCAGTTGAGTTGGCGTCAACGAGATAGCGTATTTCGGAGGGCCCAGTACGAGTTACAGATAAATGATCTAACGCGAGATCAGGATGCGACGCCAGGGTGTTAGGTGGAAGGGGGATTCCAAACGACAGTGCCGGTTCCATTGCTGGGCAATGTGCAACGCAAACTTGCTTTTAAATCACCTTCCAACTTGCTTCCAACAACGTCACTCAAGCAGATCGCTAATCTGCACACTTGCACTGCCTGCACCAGACGAGCCGGTTCGTAACTGAACAACCCACTTATCATTTATCGAACTCAAAGCCTCTCATCGATAACAAGCCATGTCACTCCCACGGGTGTCTGGCGCCGCTCCTTAGGGAAATTACTGCTTGGGTAGGCGAGGGCCCATGGATGGGATGCAACCTTGGGAACACAAACTCTTCAAGAAGCAATCGAAATGAACAGCACTGCGTCATACGTCGACTCACGACCCCCACTCATAGCAGGCGGAGCTTGAGTCGGGTCCGAAGGTCAAATCCGCCTTCGCAGTGGGGACAACTTCACAGAGTTCTTTGGTACTCACACAATGTCCCAGGAAAGTAGCTATGATCTCGCTCGCAGCCTGCGGCGCAGCGACCTCCAACTGCCGAACATCTATTCACGGAAGTGCGCTAAACGAGGGAGCATATATACACCGCCAGTAGTAGCAGCCAACGACACACACCACAAGCCTGCGCGACATTTGAACGGCACCAATGGCAGGGTTCAATCGTACCCGCCTTTTACCGGCATGGACATATATCCGTACGTAGTCTTGCCCGCAGACGTTACTGGTCCTGAAACACCTTAAAAGGATGGGATGTTCTAGCTGGAGTGTCAGAACACGTATTCGACACGCATGATGAACCTCCGAAAGGGGTCCCGACCCTCCTTCATTTAGCAATTGCTGCTCTGCCCGTCCAAACATCTCAAGACCAACTAAACGAGATTCCAGACCACCTGCGTAACATTGTGCGATACCCACTTGCCCGGCGGTTGCTTGGTAACGGACAGGAAATCGACTTTTGGTACTGCGCCTCTAGCTCTCACTGGCACACGCACGCTAATGTACGCACTAGGTTGGACCGCCACATGGCAGAGTTGCAAGCAATGCCTCTGACCGCCCACCATCGGTTTATGCTCAACCTCAGCGATTTCTCACACTGTTTCTTGGACATCGACAACTGTCCAGAGACATTGACCTTCTCTGTTGACGACGCCGTCGCAGGTTACGACCTTCTCGACTCCTACAAACCACCTGAGCGACGTATAGCAAACAGTTCTGCGGAGATTCAACTGCGATTCCACGCACTGACCCGAAACACCTTACACAACCTCTCCTGGGCCGGTATCGCCGTAGTGGGTGCCTCCGTCCTGTTCAGTTTAGTAGACCCGATTTCGCTTGGCCCTTCCTGGCTGGAGGGGTGGCGTCAGGCCCCCATCACATTGATTCTCTGTGGAGGTTCCAATCTTTCTATAGAAACTCGTCTGGTGCGTATCGTGGAATGTTACAAATCAAACATCGAAGGATGTTGCCGGATTTGGCGAGGGGTTTCAACAATCTCCATCCTAAGTGATCATGGACCTCGGGTGAATATTGTACAAGAAGAATACGCCCTATCAACCCAATGGGTTATGGAACAACCGGTGGACGCCCTGGGCCTAGCGTGGAACGGCTCAGACATAACGGCAACTCCTCGTGCTCTACGAGCTATTGAATGTGGGCGATTCTACCATCACGCCTCCGCTGATAGATGCTCAACATGCCTCCCCAGCGTCAGTCAATCGCATTCGAGCAAAGACAATTGAAACCAGCCGGCGCGAATTTTTTGGTAACGAAAGGGAGCACGAGTACGTACCTTTTCACACTACAACCTAAATTAGTACCACGACAATACTCAATACTCCGCATAGGTTGGTGTCCTTGTCGTTCCAGGTACTTGACCTAACGAATTGAATACAAATGCTGATATTCAGGGTTTTGCAATCCGCCTCACCGATGCGGACCTCAACAACATCTATGGCCACCAGACACCATTGGCAGCGGCGCAGAGGGCCAAGCTTCGGCATAACCTCCTCAAACAGAAGCGATACATAGCGTCTATATTCAACAAATACAGTGGAAACCAACAGTTCGAGTTAGGAGCGCCAACCTGGGTTGAGGCGCACAGTTTTGGTTACCTTCCCACGTCGTACTTGGACTCTTTCAGCACCTTATTACGCCACATAGCCTTCGTCATGTGGGTGATAGAGCGTCGAAACCGGTAAGCATCATTTTTTCCACTTGCTTGGCAGAAACTGATTACAATTTGTCAGAATTTGCGGCCCCCTGTACCACGCGAATGGGGTGGGAAAACCTCCTACCAATCGTCATTGTCACTCAACCGTCTCAGATCATGAACGTCCCACTCGTCACATACCCTGCGCCTATTTTTGCGCCGCCTGATATTGCAAAGATCACGGAACGACGTAGAAAATGGGAAGACTCTTGGGCACCCGCATTCGCTCCTTTCATGTCAGAAGGAGTGACTGCCGCCAACTTGCGACATCTCATAGCTGCAATGAGAATGGAACACCTTTTCTTAGCCGAATATCCAATGTTATGCTTGCCTTTGATCCTTCCCTACTCCTTCTTCGTACGTGCCGCAGCTGTTCTAAAGAACTGTATGCCGCATTCAACCGCACCCGGCAACGTATCCTTACTGCAAGCATTTCCCTTGCCCCGTCAAGAGCTACCCACGGACATTGAGTCCCGTGCCCCAGTCTTCGTCCTCTGGCATATCCCATGGAACTTGCCGTGGGCTCGAAAGAACAGGATGACGCATAGGTTAGCCCACTCATTTTTTCCGTCAACTAAATACTAAACTTTACTCCAGAGTTTGGGATGCGTTACTTGCATTCCGGGGTGTCTTCAACGAGCTTGTTGCATTCAACTATGGTCGTACCACGGGATTGTCGTTGACAGGGATTGATCGCAGATTTAGGAATTCGGTTGTAGTGGGTACAGACTTATGCCTTTGGTACAAAGAATAGTTGTGATAGTGTTCGAGACCATAACTTCATGATATCTCCACCTTCAAGAGAACGATAATAGACGTGCACTTCTAGGTGGGCAGGGTAAAGCAAGGTCGAAGTCTCAGGCGTAGCATACGCCAGAGGCCCTTGTTGCTTAATGTTGTAAAAATACTTGGAGTTACCTTGTTTCACCTTGCAAAGCAAGGTTCCCCACCCTGATAATTCCCATCAATTTTACCATCAAAACACTTTAGTGCTGTACGAACAGGTGAAAACCTTAAATTATTCTGGATGGTAAAATGAAATCGGGGTATTGAGGTAGCAGCAGAATCCAGATAGGCTGTAACCTGTGCAAGTACCTAAACTTCTACTTGTGGTATTCCCCAGGGAAAACAATAAAACTGGAGCCCCAGTTACACTCTTCAAAGGAAAAAAAAAGAAAATCCGGCCTTAAATGCACAATTTAATTCTTGTTTCAGAAGGTTTGGGAGCCAATATTTACTTAGTATTAGTCAGCAATCATGGCATAAACTCAACAATGCTATCAATCCAGTTGTAAGGCTAGTTCCCCGCATAACATGTCGCCCATGCAGCCCCATGCACAAAATTATCTAGGATCAGCTGCTCCACGCCGTCGGGGCGGATGACGAATGTGTTCCATGGGTAGCATATGTCATCGTCACGCCATGGCGGGAGGCGGAGGCGCTTCTGCCCATGGGTATCGACGAGCCAGCGGTCTGCTTGGACATCCGGGGTCCAGTCGGCGGGCTGGATCAGGTAAGCTCAGTGACAGCCTGATAGTAAGAATATACCTGATGGCTCTCGACGCCCAGTTTCCAGACGCGTACCGTGCCGTCTTCTCCGCCACTCACGACGTGCGTTCCGGCGGGGGACACAGCAACACTGCGTACCCAACCCGCGTGGCCCCGCCATACCCCACCAGCCTGCGCGGTCCCGGTCCCAACCACATCCCATACTCGCACGGTCCGGTCGTCCGAGCCAGAGACGATGTACTTGCCGCTTGGCGAGAACGCGACGCTGTTCACCCAGTCCGCGTGGCCGGCGAGAACAGCACCCATCGTCCCGCTCGCGACGTTCCAGAGGTGGAGCGCATTCCCGCGCGTCCCGGCCACGAGCGTGCTGCCGTCCGGCGCAAACGCAACGCTCGTGACCACGGCCGGATGCCGCAGCGGGCCGCCGACGGGTGTGCCGCTGGCCGCATCAACAACAGAGACGCTCTGATCGTCCGACGCACTGGCGATGTGCGTCCCGTCCGCCGACCACGCAACGGCGGTGACCCAGTCGGTATGTAGTCGTAGCTGCCGTGTAGCACCGCCCCCCGCGAGATCCCACAGGCGCACGGTGCGGTCCTGCCCGCCCGAAACAAGGCGTGTCCCATCGGGCGCGTAGGCGATTGCAGTCACGCCCTTCTTGTGTCCGCGCAGCACGTGCAGCGCTCTGCTCGACTCCGCCGCGGCGTCCCAAATGCGCACCGTCTCGTCGCTGCTGCCCGACGCGACGTGGCGCCCGTCCGGCGCGAACAGTGCACACGTGATCTTGCCAAGGTGGCCGAGCAGCGGCGATCGAGCGGGAAGCCCGGTATGCGCGTCGAACAGACACAGGGAGGCGTCAGCGCACCCTGCGAGGATGCTGGCGCCGTCAGGCGAGTACGACACGCACGTGATTGGGCCACTGTGCGTTGTTGACGTGTCATTGACGTCCTCGAGATCGGTCAGGTCCCAAACCCGCACGCTGCCGTCGTCAGCGCAGGAGATACACTGGAGGGGAGTAGCAAACTTGAACTGCACGGTCGACACGACGCCAGTGTGGCCCTTCAACGTCCCCCTTTCTGCGCCGTCTACTGCATCCCACAAGCGCACCATGCCGTCGACAGCGCCTGTTAGCACTCGTTTGCCGTCGGGGCTCCAGGCAACGGCCGAAACTGCGCTCGCGCCGGAGATCGGGCCGAGAGTGACGGCCGCGGACACCGCGTCCCACACGCACCACGTGTGATCGTTTGAGCCCGACAACACCTGGGTCCCGTCCGGCGAGAAGGCAACCGCGTTGACCCAGCCCGCGTGTCCGCGGAACGTTACCGTCGTGCCTCTGTCCCTTGCCGCGTCCAAACTCCACACGCGCGCGGTTTTGTCCGCAGAGGCGGTCACCACCCGCGTTCCATCGTGAGAAAGCGCCACGGCGTGCACCGGCCCGGTATGGCCTTCCAGCACGGCCCGCAGCGCCCCGCTTTCTGCGTCCCACACGCGCGCCGTGCGGTCATACGACCCGGCGACAACAACGCTCTCGCCGCCGACAACACTCGTCACGCCCTCCGTGTGTCCCCGCATCACCGGCCCTGGCACCTCCCCGGCCCACACCCGCACCGTCCGGTCCGCCGAGCCGCTGACGAGCCGCACGCCCCCGCCAGGCCCCACGAAGGACGCAAGCGCGGTGACGCCGTGGGTGTGCCCCGTGAGCGGCGCGCACACCATCTCGCCGCTCTCCGCATCGAGAATTTGCACCGTGCCGTCCCATGCCCCGCAAGCGATCCTGCCGTCCACAACAGCGGCGCTGATTCCACGCTGCGGGGGCCGAAACAGGTGTTTCAACGCCGGCCAGCGGGCGGCCCGGGGCCCCGTCAGCCGGGCGAGGCGTTGAAACCGCGGCGCATAGAGCCGCTTCAGTGTGGAAGTGCTGGGCGCAAAGGCGAGCGCGGAGAGGTATAGGTGGGGCGTGCTTTGCGTGATTAGTTGGCCGAATGCGTCCACGAAGCGCATTAGGTCGCGCACGAGGGGGATGGTTGTACTGTCCGCATGGTGCTTTTGGAGATAATGGAGCGTCACGGCAAGTGCGCCGCTCGCAACTGGGATATGTCCCAGCAGACTGAGTGATTCGAGCCAGAAGAGCGCGTTCTGGGTGAAGAATGTGTCCAGCAGCGTCATGAGTTCGGCGTCCGGCAGCGCATCGCGGAGATGGTGTGCAAACCAGACCGCCGCATATCTTGTCTCCGCCGATATGACGGTGCTTACGCGTTCCGCGAGGCCGTCTATTTCCGCGTTCATCGCATACGAGGACTCCAGGCCAGCCATGTTGAAGCCGAGCTGTGCATTGAGCACACGCAGACACCCACTCGCGAGGAGGCCCTGGTCTACGCGCCACAGCCGGGACTGATCCGAGTCAGCCGCGGGTGCTAGCAAGAACTCGGCGACGCTGGGGTGGATAAGCCTCGCTACATGTCCCGGCGTCCACTCCACCAGCGAATTCAACGCATGGAGCACACTTCCCACGCGGCCATCAGGCAATGCAAGCAGCGCGCTGATCGCGGGTTCGTTGAGTGGAGCCTGTGCACGGGCCAGGACGCCGAGGACACGGCCCGCATCCGCGGCAGTCACGGGGTCTTTCCAGTCGACGCAGTGTGTGAGCAGGCGAGCGTATAATGCAGGCAGGCTGTGCTTGATGTTGTTGGCTGGTGCCAGTAACAGGGCGAGGCGCTTCTTGGGGTCGTATGTGTGATGCACGAAGCGCATTGCCGTTGTGGCCCATCCAAAGGAAACATCGGCATGGTGAGAAAGGCTCTGTATTGTCGCCTCCCCGGGCCAGGCACCGTGAGTGATTCCTTTCGTCCGCCGAGTGTGTGCCAGCGCGTGGCGGAGGAAAAGGAGTACATCACGCCGTGCAACGTCGGGGTGCTCAGACATGCTGCGGAATAAAACGTGTGCCGGAGCAGAAGACGGCTGCGATGAAAGCGTAACGAGGACCCGCACGCCCGGCGGGAGTGCGCCGAACTCGGCCATCACTAAATCAAGCAATGCCGCGCGGGTCGCGAGAGCCTGCGCCTCGTCCAGGCCATCGAGAATGATGGCCACTGGGCCGGCGATTCGCAGACGCCGCAGGGGCTCACAGATCAGCGCACGGAAGAGCATCCTGGGCGGCAGACGAAGGTCCTCCGGCGGTACCATTCCCGGCACGTGAGACGAAAGTTGTATCGCGATCTCCCGCATCACGGCGCGGGCATCGGCGCCCGCCGAATTATCGCGATCGATGCACACATATGCCCCAAGCCGATGCAACGGAGCAAGCGCGCGCGCGAGGGTGTGAACTATGGTGGACTTGCCGGTCCCAGGGAGACCAGTGAGGAGCAACGTGTTCGCTGTGTTGGTGGTAGAAGAAGAGAGCAGAAATGTGCCGAGAGAAGAGAGAAGAGCCTGCTGGGTGCCCGGGAGGCAGCTCGGTCGGTCGAGCGCCCAAGAAGACGTGTCCTCTGGAACATAATCAGTCGAACGGCAGAGACCGGAGGTAAAGCGGACCGATGCCTGATGATGCCCCCCACGACGCTGTGGTAACGAGCGCTTCCAATGTTTCAACACCAGAGTCGAAGGCCGCCTTCAGCCGGCCCAGTGCTTGGGCAAACTCGTCGGCTTGTCGGGCAACCCCTTCAGACACTACTCCTTGTCAAACTCGTGGCACGGCTCAAAGGAGGAGACGCACCGAATTGTCCTTGGACTACCGCGCGCAGGAATATCCCCGCCTCCACCGTCTGTTGCGCCAGTTGCAGGAATGTCGTGGAGGACGCGGTGCTGGCGCGTATCGCGGCCAGCATGCTGGCGATGTGCCCTGCGTCGCTGGGGTAAAGGTCGGCAATGGCCTGAGTCAGCACGGCAACGTCGCTTGGAGTTTGGCCAGTCTAATCAACGGCATGAGGCGTGGTAATGCAGGACCAGAGATACTGACATGAGGGACGGAATAAATGATCTTCCAAGCAAGGTGGAGGTAGAGATGCAACTATGGTATGAAATCAGCGTGGAAGATGAAGTAAGACATAATCCCACCGCGGCATGCTCGCCCACCCCTTGTGTTGCGCGCACGAGTCGCTCTATGCGGGCCGCCGCGTGACTGAACTCATCGTCTCGCTCAGCGGATTCCACGCCGGCATTGGGGACGGCATCATCGTGTCCTTTGGGAACATCTCCCGACGCTGACGAGGCCGCAACGAGGGCTGGCATTTCGGCCTCGCCAGCCGAAGTCACCTCCATGCTGGTCCGCCGGCTGCCAAGGCTAGCGCTGACACGGCGCAAGCTGAACCCCGACAGGCGGCGCGATTGGCGCGGCTGGACGGAGCCTACCTGTGGACTTGTTGTTGCGGGTTTGGTAAGAGCGTGGTCGTCAACGCTGGTGCGTGGAGAGACAGGCGTGGAGTGGCTGAGACGCACGGCGATGCGCGCGGAAATCGGATTGTGTGTGCTGTTGGACTTCATGTCGAGTTCGACTGGGAAGGCAGTTCAGTAAACATCTGAGTGGGATGAAGAAGACTTAGAAGAGCGTCAAGGACGTTATCCATCAACACTGACGAATCAATGCAGAAGATATCGAAACACTGAAGAAAATGGGGGGAGAAGATCTAGACAGACCTTGCTCGCGGTTCAAGAGTTCACCCACTGTCGTCTTGCATTCGCCTAGGAAGGCGGGCCCGCGTCCAGGAAACGTCGTATCGTGGTAAAGGCGCAATGCGATGGTGGCATTCGGCGCAGTTTCGGGCGCGCTATCAGACAATCAACATTGTTAGGATAAAACGGAAGCAAGACGCACATCTCAGCCACGTAATCCCACCGCGGGGCTAACTCGCGCTTCCGCGTCGGGGTCTGCAACACGCGCCCGCCGCCCTGGTCGATTTCGATATGGAGGTTAGGTCGCTTGCGATGGTAAAGCCCCGGGCTCCACGCGACTTTATCGGCGGACTCGACTGGGCATGCGTCAGCATCTTCGTCAGACAGAATGGGACAATTACTCAAGAGGGAGTACATCGCAGCAGAGTAAATGGAGGGGAGATGGTGGTCGTGTGCGCGGGTTTATACTGCGATGGCATGCGGATACAGGGCAGCGATACTGAGACCGGTTGGCGCTGCTGAGGCCTGGCACAGAGAAGACTACCGCGATGTCAAGCCGATAACGAAACACTTTTGTTTTGCCCCGCCTTGGATTTACGCGGTAAAAAAAGTTGAAAAACAGCTCGCCAGGGTGACTTACCAATCGTTTCACTCAGAGCCGCCACCCATCCCGTCTCCCGGAGCCCCAAAAGGCTGAACAGCCTAAAGGTAAAAACGCCAATCTGCACGAACGTTCGTCGCACTGACAAACGTGCGCACCAGAGAAGGCCCGAAACGCATGCCCATGGGCAGTAGCTTCCATCGTTCTGGGACCAGCTTGCTTCTGTCGAGTTATTCTGGACACTTTTTGTGGGAGGAACGACAAGATGAGCTGGCGGTTTTGCAGTGGTTGCTGCCGCGGTACTAGTAGCTGGCAACATGGAGGCCGCGTGCCAAGGCGAGAACGAAGAAGTCACGCCCGCAGAGGGCTGTTTCCGTAGTTGGAGACATTGAGTTGTTGTGGTGTCAGCGAAAGAGCGAGACGCGTGCTGTCACGGTGACTCTTGTCATGTGCGATGGGTCACGTCGTGACTTCCTTTTTTGCGAGGATATAAATTGAAACGTCGGTTATTTGCGGAAAGTGCTGACCTGTGTGCAAGTACTTCAGCGGTATGTTATTGTAAATATTCGCAACAGACAGAGGTATATTCAAGGTATATGCGAGCGTTTATACGAGCACAAGCGGCGCCCCTCCAGCCGGGATGCCCGCCGTTGCCGCCAAGGATACGCCAAGACGAAGAGCACCGGCCCTCTGAATTGAGCCCGTTGAGCTCGAACTATTCGCGGCGGACCCGGAAGAGGATGAACCAGAGGTGGAGCCGGAACTTGAAGACGAGGCGGCGCGGCTGCCGTCGAGAGTTGTCGGCCTCAGGCTGAAACCAGCGCTTGTGCATGCCCGCACATAGTCTAACAGTATCGTCAGCAGAGCCACGCCAAGGTGAAGAATTGACGCTGCGCACTGTCGAGAATCGCTTGGGCCCCCTCCTTCGTCATCACCCCGTTGCTGATCATGCAGTTGTAGCACTGCGCATAGCCGTCCACGATGCCTGTGGTGCACATCTCGGACAGTTTCGAGTTGGCGGCGAGTACCGCTTGGTCGACATCCGCGCATGCGGAACCGCAGCCGCCGTTGCTTTGCCGCTCGAATAGTGGATGGCTCTGTGCGATGACTAGTGCGAGGATGAGAGAATGATAGAGAGCCGTAGTTGGTAGCTCACCGGCGGGAATGAATACCAGAGGGAGTAACCACATTGCAACGAATTTGAGACGACGCCGAATTCGAAGGGAACCCGGACGTCATCAGGAGCGACGGGTTAAATACGACCTCAGGGGTCTTAGTACCTCTGGCCGAGAGTGTCAAATATGTACTCCTGGGCGCTCATTGTCGAAGACGACAGAGGGGGCTTGTAGAGTGCACAATCACGTTGGCAAGACCATTTGCTCATGCTGGAACCAGTCATCACAGGAAAAGAGGGACAGCTACGAACACACACCCTGAAGTTATTGTACTCCTACGAACATAGGTTCACCCCGACCGATGAGGGACTGCGTCGAATGGCGGTTTTCTTCGGCCTTGGGAAAAAAAGGTCACATCTGTCATCTGCTTGTCACAATCAGATATCATCCATCAGATGTCACGCATACACGTAAGTCTTCACGTACGCCAAGCTTCTTTCCTTTCCGCCCTTCTTGCTGGCCAGGGCGCCGTTGGTCTTACCCCGTCCATTCAAGACGTGCTATGCTTCAGTAGTCAAACGAAACGCTCTCGGTCTCCGTCCATATCTTCGTTTCGCTCTGGCCGTCCCTACTGGAGTCTTCGAGTCAGTGGACGGGGAATGGAGGGCTTGCGAGTGCTCAGGCTTTCGCATGGTATAAACCTGGCCCAAGCACAAGGTAAGTTGGCAGCTAGTCGTCTCCTTGCTCGTTCTTTCCCTCGTACTTTCATTCTCTAGATAGGATTTCGTCAAATAATCATTCAAACTCCGCCTCAGGCATCCTGCGGCGCTGCTTATTCGTTTTCTTGCCTAAAACTGAGATGATAATGCATACCACAGGTACTACCAAAACTCTCAACCCTCGGTCTTCGAGTTTTTCTGATGCTGCGATGCAACGACGGACTCCGAGTTGGATGCGGTCAATTTGCGGTCAATGGCAGATGCGGTGCGTTAGTACTTCCATATCCGTTTGTGGCGCTGTTTATTTGAGGAAGTGCATCAAATCAATGTCACTCGTTGCCCTCCAGCCTCCACCTAAAATCGCAGCGCAAAGTGTTACCACAATTCTCGGGCGGGCAAAAAAGATATCCTGAATCTTGGTCAGCAGAAACCGTGGAAGTTAGCGGGGCTTTATGGCTGACGGCGTTCGCTAGCCTATACGTGCACTCCGATGAAGCCGCAGCCTGAGGTGCGACCTGTCTTAACCCCGCCGTGAAGGTGCGCTCAAGGCGTCAACGCATCGAGCATCAAAGTTTAAAATGCGGCCTGAATGCACGCTGGCAAGGTGCCACCTTACTTCCTTTCGATGTCAGCGTTAATGGGCGGACAGGCTGAGCGCTGTTGATGGCTTGCCGATCAGTCTTCATACGCGTACGCATGACCGGGCTGGAGGAGATGGACGACCATGCAGGACATTCGACTGGTTGGTGGAACGGCCAGGATGACGAGCCGTGTTTGACGGGTCACTATGCGCTGCAGCGGTTAGTTCCAGTATCGTGTCAGACTGTCCGGTACGTTTTTGACGCCTCGCCGCTCGGGCACATATGTATTCATAAGCTTACTCAGGCTGGGATGACAACTCATTGGAAGGCGGGACAAGCTTGAAGCGTCCCAATGTGCATGTGGCGGAGAAGGCGCTATAGTGGCACTGGCATGCGTCAATCTGAAACTAAGTCATCGACTCATGTTGGAGGAGAAAGTCACTAGAGCTTGCGGAGCCAGTTATGATGAGGTAAATGTGCGTCGAGTTGGAGCACTGTTCAAATTGAGTCTTTATTCACAACCATCGTTTATCCTCTAATGGAATCCAGATGAATTCGGACGAAGACACTGGACATCCCGTTCACGCACACCAAAAAGACATATCTATCGGATAAGATAGCACATGCTTACCTGATCATCCACTCTGGGCTCGAAATTCAAACTCCGCGAAGAGCGACACATTGAATTCTCGGTTGTCCCGTGGGATTCTTTTCCACCCGCGCCTATCATGGAACGGAAGATGGATCTTCCATGCGGGCGGTTAGCCGCGGCCAGCATGATCGTGGGCCTGGTTGTTGCGCCACAGAAGGTTGCGTCAATTCCACTGTGGCAATTCAAGTGGCTTTTCTGACCTATTCCAGTTCGCGTTTCAATAGGCGGCACATTTGGCATATACGACTGCAACATGACGACCGCCGCGGCCGTGCCAGTGAATGAGGTGAGTGGCAGAATCGCCTGAACTCTACAGAAACGATGAAGATTGATCGAAGACATCCTGCCAGTGACAAATGCCTACGGAGAATACAAGGCTTACCAGTGCCAGCGCATGATCATCTTACATGTGGTTGGTCGTACATACCGCTGGACACACGCGAACCTCCATGGCGGTGGAGCGTCTGAGAAGTTGGGCAAATTAGGGAAGAGTTAAAGCTTATCGACTCCTTTGCAGGCATTTTCTTCTTACCGAATAGCGATCCGACCTCACGCTGCCTTTGCTGATGAAAATTCGGATAGAAGTCCATCATTCAAGGGGAGGAATACACGGTATTAAATCAAAATCAAACTATTACTACACTTATTACGGTCAGATTCACCCCTTACATTTGATCGGCATCACGGCGTTGCTTGTATGCCGCCTCTCCGACCATATCTCCGGTGGTTGGACGATTTCCGAGCTGCGTCGGATGTGTGTAGCCTAGTCCGCCGTCGACTGAAGAAAAATTTTTGGTCATTGATCACATGTCCAAGAAGCTCAGCAAACACTCACCCTTATCGGCGGCATAATGGGCACCCGGGGTCGGATAAGACGGTGGCTGACCTGTTGGATCGCCGCTATACGCATTCGAGCCCCGTCCGAGGTCAGAAGGTTCGGTGTTCGCAGAATCTGCATTTCCGGCAGTTAGCGGCCGCTTGTTTAGCTGATAACGAACAGGGCACACTCACTTGGAGCGTACGCCGCTCCCCGGGGCGGAGGAAAGCCATAGCTATTCGTAGTCGCCTCGGAATTCGCTCCGTTGATTCCAGTACCCCATCCTGCCATGGAGAAAAAGAAGCACGAAAAATCAATGGTGTGCGGCTAAACTATTCTTCTTTTACACACCTTGGAGGGAATTACCTGGCCCCGTTGCCGTGGGTTTGACGGAATGTCCCTTGATCATTGCAATGCCTTCTTCGATTTCCCTACGTCCTCGACGTGCGATCTCGTCGTTGGTACTCGAATCGCGGTTCTCGACAGAGTCAATGGCAGCGAAGGTTGTCCCGCGGACGGTATTTCCGAGTCCTTGGGCTACTTTAGCGCCGCCTCTGTGCCAAATCCGAGATAAGCTGTCGCAACCCCGCATATGAATCAACGAATAGCGCACTTTACTTTGCTCCCGATGCTAGTCGAGTTCTTAGAGTGGGGGTTCTCGCTACCAGTGGGGGCTGCAGTGCAGACATGGTTTCTGTGGGTCAGGGAGGCGTAAACGAGTTATAAACCTATCTACGGCTCCGCACCTATGACGACACCGCAACTAGTGTATGACATCATATGGAGGAATCGTCCCACGGTAAGGTCCATAACCTTGGCTTCGGTCCTTACCTCCGTCGGCAATCATAGTTTCCTTTTTAAGCGGCTCGAAGTGTATAAAAGGAAGAGTGGGGTTATCATCGCCATCCAACGAGCCTTCCCTCTTGTCGAGAGCTGGAAGAGGTTGCCTCACGATACTTCTGGCTTCAAGAGGCATTATCACCTCATGTTCCTTGCTAGATCTGCGCCGATCCCCGGTCCCGACCCCGGCCCTCTCTCCACATTGGCCAAAAAATCTCGAAAATTCTCTTGCGCAACCTGATCAACAGACTAGTGTCTCCCCACTTTACTTGAAGTGGGAGTGGTCCTGTCCGTCGCCCAGGCGGCCGCAAGGATTTTTCGACATTTTCTGGCTAATTGTGGGTTGTTGGGATGTGGAGATGTTAGAGGAGGACGACGCAAACAGCTTCACACTTGCAGGTCATTCTTTTTGTTCACATGGCATCTCACTTACACAATTGTAGCAGTGTGCAAGGGTACTAAGTAATATAACAAAAGCCGGCACTATGATTCACCATGGCTCAATTGAAGTCCATTCAAACATCTTCTATATGGTCAGTATCGACTATTACCACTCATCAATGTGTCTCTCTGCCTCCCATCATTGTCCCCAACATCATAGCGAGGTCCTCCGGCCCCAGCTCATCCGGCATCATCTCTGGCCGCCAGCCCTCCGCCACCAGCCGGTACATTGCGTCGTTTTGCACATACAGCGGAAAAACTCGCCATCGCCACGTCGCCCCGTCGTTCGGGTGGAGCCCCGCAAAGTGCAGCTGCAGTCTGCCATGCGCCTGGATCATGTGGCTGATCTCGGCGGCGTAGTACTGGCCGAGGCCTTCGGGGAGCGCACGGATGGAGGCGACGGATATTTCGCACGGGCCGTGCTTGAAGTCGAACAGCACGCATGGCACGTCTTGCGGGTCTGGATAGGCGTCGAAGAAGGCGAGGCGCATCCGGTCGATCGCGGGCCCGTGCGTCGTGTATTCGCAGTTGAGCAGCGCGCGGACAAACGATTGTATCTTGTCAAATGACCACGCATATTCCACTGAGTAAGCATGTCAACGGAGCGCTCTAGGGTTTGTGACAGGCAACGCACTTTTAGCCCGGCGTTGAACGATGATCGCGCACATGTCGCGATGCCCTGGGCTGGCTTTCCAGTCTTCGCGCTGGCACTCCCGCGAACAATACGTAGTCGTGCGGCATTTTCCGCACTGTTTGACCTCGCTTTTCAGCTGCACGCTCACACACTATAGAAGTTAAGCGTGAGATGCAGATCCAGTTACCCAGGGGGATTGGAAGCACCTTGCCGTTGTTACACCCCCGCTGGGACGTCAGCTCCCCGGCCTCGTACCGCTTCAGCACCAATAGACGCTCCTGTATCAGGGCCATGAACTGGTTCCACAGCGGGACAAGTTCCGCATGGCGAAAAGCGCGCTCTGCCTTCAGATTCGCGACGGACCTGACGGAAGAGCGCAGCTGAACGAGGACGGGGTGGTACACTGTCAACGCAGGTAGCAGACTCCCAAAAGCCGACCGGAGAGCGGACGCAGTTTGCTTCGTCAGAGTGGCGTCGTCGAGGGGCAAAGCAGCGAATTTGAACAGTACCAAGAGGAAGTCGGCACGAAGGACTTCGGGGAACAGCTCCGGTGCTCTAGAGCCAGCGATCGACGGGAGTATGGAGGAGAAAAGGACCGCGAGCGTGGCAGTATAGTCAATCCGCAAACAGGCGGGGCTATTCAGGATCCCGAGGAGGACAGCCGCGAGTTTGGAGAGTATGCCGTGTTTAATAGCCGCATTCCGGAGCGAAGCGTGGTCCGCATCTGGCTGCTGTGGGTCCCGGTCGGGGCCAAATGTGGTCGATACGAGAGGCAAGATGGCGCGCAGACGCCACGAGAGCTCGTCGAGGTTCCTGGTGGCCATCGGGGTCGCTGCAGTGAGGAAGGCATCCGCACGGTCCAGGTGGAGGACGAGCAGCGTAGCAAGATCGTCCCATGTACCGCCAGCGCCGTCCTTGAGTTGACCGAGATGAGTGGAAAAATCACCGGAATCCGGCGCGCCTATCTTGGCAAAGTGAAATAGCTGCGAGAGCTGTGAGATGCCCAGGGCATCGTCAACGGCGAGAAGGGGGCCCCAGGCAGCGCCCAAGAAGCGACACAGCCCTGCGCTCCCTCTGATGATTCCCCCGACGGCGGCGGACTCCGCGCAAGTCAAGTTGTGCACCAGCGCAAGGTGGCGGGTCAACAATTCCACAAAGCCTTTCCCGAAGGGAACAAAGTCGTGCTTCTCCATGTGTGTTTGGATCCACGCCCATATGCGCGGCCAAAGTTCCAGCACCGCGCCGTCGGGAATATCCTTGTCGATCGAGATCAGGCGTATACCTTCCAGCGCGAGCATCGCCCGCTGGAGGAGCCGTTCGGCGTGGTGGTTTTGCCGCCGCGTGGGCCGCGTTGGAAGGGAGCTGATGGAAGCCGGCTCGAGGGCCACATACAGGACCGGAAGAAAGCAGAGCCGCAAAGGTTTCGACAGCGGCGACCGCGCGGTGAGCAACATGACGACCGCCTGCATCTCGTCCACCGTCCCGCGGAGGGCGGCATTGGCGGTTCTCTGGATGGATTAGCTGAGGGGAGGGAAAGAAATGACCGGTATCTTACCCGGAAGCTGTCTGGGAGCTCCGAAAGACGATCAACGTGCAGCGACGGGTGCACCATGAAAATTGTCGTCAGGAGGTGATGGGCGAAAGTAGGTTTGTCACAATCTCACACTGTCATCTATGGTTGATAAGATGCACGTGCTGCGTCCGGATCTTCTCCCACGATGTCTTCTCCTTGACTTTTACCGCCGTCGCCCGACGCCCGCTCTTCCTCGTGAGCGCGCTGGCCGCCAGTGCGTCCGTGACGTGTGACTGGGGCCGTGGATGTGACTGTTGCCGAGCCGCCTTCGCGTCTGTGCCTCCTGTCCTCACAGGTACGTTGCGCTGTCTTTTTTGTGCCTGTGACTCTACCTCAGCAGGTCATCGTTGCGCGCCGAGACTGGATTCCGGCTGGCGGCCCACTCGTCGCACGCAACACCATGTGCGTGATCTGCCTTGAATCAGGCGAGTACTGACCCGTACTTTGCCAGTGCGGCTGTCTCGATATTCTCTGTGGGTCTGCTGGACAAGAAGATCCCACCAAGGTCGTGCTTCTCCATCAGTGTACTAAACCGTTAATGGTACATTCCGAAACCCAGAGTCGTTACAAGAATCATACATACAAAAACATCGAGGGTCCATACGAGTATCACTGGCCGACCTGGACAAACAAGCCGCTGGTCTGGCTGCGCTCCCAGTGCAGGCTGGCGCCCTCGCTGCCATACAAGAAGCGCACGTGCCGGATGCTGGGGTATGTCTTCACCAGCGACAGCCGCACCTTGCCGAAGCAGCTAGCGGCGTCGGCCGCGGCCTCGGCGGGGGGGATCCACAGGTTGAACTTGTCGCGGCCCTGGATGCGGAGCGTGAGGTCGGTGAGGGCGTAGTGGGCGGGGACGGCGTTCAGCAGCGCCTTGATTTCGCTGGAGGACAGGGCCGGGTCTGGGATAGCGAGCGCGGACAGCATGGGGAAGGCAACGTGGATTGTCCCGAGCAGCGGGGCGGGGATGTCGGCGCTCGTGAGCGGAAACGAGAGGGAACGCAAGGTGTTGCTGGCACCGCTTAGGCTGTCATGTTGCCCGTACAACTTGGCCAGCGACGACTCCAGGCTGGCTGGCCGGCACGGGACCGACACCTCGAGTTTCTCCGCCGTGCGGTGGCGAAGGAAGGCCGCGGCAAAGTGGTGGGGTCCTCGATAGCTGCGCAAGTGTGGCAGGACGCCGTCAGGAAGGGTGAAGTTGGCCTGGGGAAGATAGTCCGTCGCATGGAGCGCGATGTTCTCCACTTCTGGGCAACGAGCAAGCGCAGCAATGAAGTGGCGTGACGCAAGACACTCGCCGGGCAGCTCGAGCGTGCGAAGACGGGTGAAGGGCACACGGGAGCTGGCGAGGGAGTCGAGGACACGTGTCGTTGTGGCATGAAGCGTCTCGAGGTGATCGGGCGAGAGGAAAACGGGGCACGGGCTCGCCTGACCCGCAATCGAGGCGTCGGAGTACTTGAAAGTCACTTCGCGTAAAGGCACAGACGGCATCCCGGCCAAGTCGGCCATGTTCCCAAAGCACAAGTCAAACGACATTGTCGGCAGCTCCAGTCCCCGGAGCACGTGCAGCCGCAGGGGCGTCAGTCGGATGTGGCGGCACTCCAGCGCGCGGAGGTTGGGCAAATGGGGGAGCATAGCAAAGATGTGGTCGACAACATCGTCGCCATCGCATTCGTCCTCTGGGAGCGGGAGGGAAATGCGGCAGACACGCACAGCGTGGCAAATCTGGGGCGAAAAGAAGAAAGCGGTCCGCTCGTTAACGCGCTTGCGGTAACGTGCAGTCTGCCCGGCGACACGAAGAACGCCGGGGGACGGCTTCCTTTCCTCCGGATGGGTAGAGATGCTTGCGAAAAGGAGCGGCTGGGCGAGTGCACGGAACGCACGGCAGGTGAGGGTGACGGATAGCAGGAGGTAGTTGGGGATGTGCTTGAAGACCTTTATCCACAACTCGGCTGGCAGTGTGCTCAGCACGACCGCCCGCGGGTCTGACCCGGCCCGCCGGCGCTGGCCCGTGGGTGAGAGCTTCCCTCCGTCGCTAGTGAGGCGTCGAGCATGGCGGAAGAGGCCCGAGAAGAAGGGCCGCCGGGTCGACGTGGCGGGCTGCATGGGGGCTCCGCGCAAGATGTAGTGGAAGGGCCTCGACAGCGGGCGGCCCTGATAGATCTTATACTCCCCTGGCCTAGCTTCCGATGCTCAATCATGATGTTGGGCAGATCGATGCGAAGACACGAAGCTGATCACTGTTCACTGCTGATAGCGCTGATCGCCTATTCAAGATAGACCGACTGCTGGCCCCTGTTGGCACAGGAAGATCCGCGTTGGTCGTGAAGTGGGGGTGAGCCGACAATCATTAGAAGGTCTTACTTATAATTCGCCATACCCTAAATTTGATCAGAGGACCCGGAATGACTGCCAGGGACAGAGAAAGCCTACGGTCAGGGCGAACAAATAGTCTGCTGTTCTACCATCTCGCACCCTTTGCCAGCTTCCGAAGCATTCCTAGTCTGTGTGTAAACGGTGATGCTCAGGCTACCTCGCTGGTGAGACACAATAGTTTGTGCGACTCTTCGCACACACTTTAGACGGCCGCCGCGTCATCGTCCATGCGTGTGAATTGACCTTCACAATCAGATGTTCACCCAAACACCTACTTGAATCACGAATCGATTCCACAATGGCATCAGCAACGGTGGAGCGATCACTTGCAGCTAATGTCAAATGTGTCATCGCATGAGCTGTGCGTGTACAATAGGGGAAATTAAATAAATGTTGATTCCAGTTCAAAATAGTGCTGGCCAGAATTATATTATGGTTGATTAAATATTAGGGGAGCTCACGGTAGGTGGGCAAAACTCTGGGCAAACCTTCGGGCAAGACTCTGGGCAAGTGAATAATGACAAGAAGATCCCACCAAGGTCGTGCTTCTCCATCAGTGTACTAAACCGTTAATGGTACATTCCGAAACCCAGAGTCGTTACAAGAATCATACATACAAAAACATCGAGGGTCCATACGAGTATCACTGGCCGACCTGGACAAACAAGCCGCTGGTCTGGCTGCGCTCCCAGTGCAGGCTGGCGCCCTCGCTGCCATACAAGAAGCGCACGTGCCGGATGCTGGGGTATGTCTTCACCAGCGACAGCCGCACCTTGCCGAAGCAGCTAGCGGCGTCGGCCGCGGCCTCGGCGGGGGGGATCCACAGGTTGAACTTGTCGCGGCCCTGGATGCGGAGCGTGAGATCGGTGAGGGCGTAGTGGGCGGGGACGGCGTTTAGCAGCGCCTTGATTTCGCTGGAGGACAGGGCCGGGTCTGGGATAGCGAGCGCGGACAGCATGGGGAAGGCAACGTGGATTGTCCCGAGCAGCGGGGCGGGGATGTCGGCGCTCGTGAGCGGAAACGAGAGGGAACGCAAGGTGTTGCTGGCACCGCTTAGGCTGTCATGTTGCCCGTACAACTTGGCCAGCGACGACTCCAGGCTGGCTGGCCGGCACGGGACCGACACCTCGAGTTTCTCCGCCGTGCGGTGGCGAAGGAAGGCCGCGGCAAAGTGGTGGGGTCCTCGATAGCTGCGCAAGTGTGGCAGGACGCCGTCAGGAAGGGTGAAGTTGGCCTGGGGAAGATAGTCCGTCGCATGGAGCGCGATGTTCTCCACTTCTGGGCAACGAGCAAGCGCAGCAATGAAGTGGCGTGACGCAAGACACTCGCCGGGCAGCTCGAGCGTGCGAAGACGGGTGAAGGGCACACGGGAGCTGGCGAGGGAGTCGAGGACACGTGTCGTTGTGGCATGAAGCGTCTCGAGGTGATCGGGCGAGAGGAAAACGGGGCACGGGCTCGCCTGACCCGCAATCGAGGCGTCGGAGTACTTGAAAGTCACTTCGCGCAAAGGCATAGACGGCATCCCGGCCAAGTCGGCCATGTTCCCAAAGCACAAGTCAAACGACATTGTCGGCAGCTCCAGTCGACGAAGCACGTGTAGCCGCAGGGGCGTCAGTCGGATGTGGCGGCATTCCAGCGCGCGGAGGTTCGGCAAATGGGGGAGCATAGCAAAGATGTGGTCGACAAGATCGTCGCCGTCGCATTCGTCCTCTGGGAGCGGGAGGGAGATGCGGCAGACACGCACAGCGTGGCAAATCTGGGGCGAAAAGAAGAAAGCGGTCCGCTCGTTAACGCGCTTGCGGTAACGTGCAGTCTGCCCGGCGACACGAAGAACGCCGGGGGACGGCTTCCTTTCCTCCGGATGGGTAGAGATGCTTGCGAAAAGGAGCGGCTGGGCGAGTGCGCGGAACGCACGGCAGGTGAGGGTGACGGAAAGCAGGAGGTAGTTGGGGATGTGCTCAAAGACCTTTATCCACAACTCGGCTGGCAGCGTGCTCAGCACGACCGCCCGCGGGTCTGACCCGGTGCGCCGGCGCCGGCCCGTGGGTGAGAGCTTCCCTCCGTCGCTAGTGAGGCGTCGAGCATGGCGGAAGAGGCCCGCGAAGAGGGGCCGCCGGGTCGATGTGGCGGGCTGCATCGGGGCTCCGCGCAAGATGTAGTAGAAGGGCCTCGACAGCGGGCGGCCCTGATAGATCTTATACTCCCCTGGCCTAGCTTCCGATGCTCAATCATGATGTTGGGCAGATCGATGCGAAGACACGAAGCTGATCACTGTTCACTGGAATCTTGCCCCGGGTGTTCACGGTAGGGCAAGGCAGAGTAAATTAAAATATATTACGCAAGCGTGATCCGTGAGGCGCGTCTATCTTATCAATAATCCATCTCTCTTGCCTCTTCCCGCCTCCACTGCTGCTCCGATGCAGCAAAAGACCGAGCGGCAGCGCGACACGGACGAGATCTTGGAGATGATCAGGATCATGAAGGTCCTGGAGGCCTTCCAGGAGCTCGAGGATGAGGAAGATGCTGCAGGTGCTCCCAACGCGCCGGCAGACGACGCCGCGGCCGAGGACGACGAGAACATGCCCATCTCCGACATGCTCATGCTGGGTCTCATCTCTCTGCATGCTCAACACTATCTCAATGAGCGTCGTGTCATTCCCAAGGGCAACATTCTCTCGGTGCTGCTCGAGGACTGGAAAACCGGCTTCCCCAACTTCTTCCGATCCTATCTTCGTGTCACGCTGGCAACATTCGACGCCCTGCTGGATGCGATCCAAGATGACCCTGTTTTCCACAACAACTCCGACACTGCTGAACAACTTGCGGTCGATTCGCAGCTCGCTGTTGCCCTCTACCGATTTGGGCACTACGGAAATGGTGTCAGCGTACGAAAAGTCGGCCTGCAGCTTGGGCTGGGATTTGGGACCGTTGTGAAGTCCACTCGGCGGGTCATTGCTGCCTTGTGCCGTGACCGTGTCTGGAAATCTGCAATCCGCTGGCCAACCGAGGAGGAAAAGGAGCAGGCAAAGGAATGGGTCGAAGAGCATTCGTGCCCTGCATGGCGGGATGGTTGGCTGATGGTCGACGGCACTCTCGTTCCGCTATATGCTTGTCTGGCACATTTCGGAAACAATTGGTTCAACTGCAAGTCCAACTACTCTCTCAACATGCAGTTCAGAATATTAGGAATATATTATGGCATTGGTCAATCACTTGAATATGATTATGTTTCAATGTATTATATTAGAGACGTTGCGCCACAGCCATTGAATGGCTTCAATGGCTGCATTTTTTGGCCTTTTTGGGACCAGATTTTGGGGCCGAATAGATTACCTTATCATATAGTCAATCTCCAATTTTTGTGAATAAATAATGTCTAGAGATAATGTCAGTGGAAATTTAATGAGCCATTGGAGCCATTGAATGCCTCCAATGGCAGTGGCGCAATGTCTCTATTATGACTATATGAGATTATGGGCACAGAATATTCAAAATATAGTAAGATGGATTATGATAGTCACATACTTTAAATCAATGTTATATATGATCCATTGTTATATATGATTTATTATATAGTGATTCCATGAAGCAATAAATCACCACTACTGTAACATTTTATTCAATTCGGGCGGTCACGCGTCACACCGGCCCTCCAATGCCGAAATATTTCGGCGTGTCACAGGCCCACAGCCTGGATGATGAATATCAAACACCCATCAGACCATCAAAAAAAATTCGGCGGCCCTCCAGGCCACTAAATAGGCCCGAAAATTTTTGGCAGTCATGCAGATTGACAAAAGGTGCCGACAATTTAATTTCAGCGCCGATGTAACCAGTGATTGCCCAAGGTGCCAAGGCCCTTTGATGGCAGAGGCCTCTGGGGCCCTTGGCCAGGGCCCTTGGGCTCCAGGCTGCCAGACTCGAGGGCCTTGCAAGGCCCTTGTGATTGGATCATGATTGCATCAGTCGGTATAATCTGTATCACGTCACCGCATCGATCCTATACAGCAAGATGAGATTGATGAGCAGGCGGAGGTACAACGCCAAAACGATCTGGCTGATGCTGAAGCTGATGCAATCCCCAATGATGACGCTTTGTACCTTTCGGATGTCGATGATTATCTAGAGAAGTAAAAATTGATGATCATGATCAAAAGGGCCCCCAAGGGCCTCCTAGAAAGAGGCCTCTGGCCCTTCCAAGGCCCCTGGGTTCCCGCTGCCAGCCAAAGAGGCCTCTTGGGCGATCACTGGATGTAACACCCTTGTGGCATGCCAAGTTGAATAAATTGCTACAGTCCTATAGGAGAAATGAGTTTTAATAGTAATCACTTTGGGATTACTCTGCTGAACATAGTGTAGGAACTCTGGTCAAGTTTCTACTAGGCACTAGCTGACTTAATTCTTGGAGCAATGTCCCTAAGTGTAAGTATTTTGAGGGTCCCTATACTTAGCTCCAAAAAGAATTGAAGAGGCCTGAAAGCAAGTTACCCTCACAGTTTAGCAAATTTTTGTGTAGCAACTATATCAAATTTATATAGGGATAAGCATACTAGATTATAGTTGAATATATTCATAACATAATCAGATTTGGAATCCAAATATGATTATACTATACTACAAATATATTATTGTGTTGAGGCTCTGAATATGATTAGAATCATTTATAATATATTATCTCTCAAACATAATATAATTGTATTTGGCCAGGTCATTCTGGATGTAGATACTGTAAATACTAAACTCATGAATGATTTTTGTCAATCAATGTCATATTGACAACAATACTAGAAACACACTAGGGCTTTGGACGAAAAATAGTCAGGGGGCATTATTTTTGTGAAATAGTGTGACAAGAATGAGTATATTTCTAAAACCTTGATAAATGAAAAAATAAAACTGATTGAAAGTAAATGTCAGGGGAACCTCCCTTTTGGCCTCTCAGAGATGATTCCGATTCTGGTCTGATTCTGGTTTCGACTCCGGTCCTGCCCTCCATCTCGCCTGCACAATTACCGATCTGTCAACACCCTCCCGACAGTCGCCCTGGGACCTCGCCTGCCATACCATCCAGGCCTTCTGTGCCTGACAGCGGCAGCTATGGACAAGCAGTATATAGTCAGCTACCTAGCGGGCGGACCCTTAGAGTTTCTTCTCTTTGGGTATTTTCATAATAATTAATTATTTTAGGGCTTTCTAGCACCTTCTAGGTGATGGGATCAATGCCTTTGATAGAATGTTTTTGATGTGGAACCATTTTTGATGAAGATCAATTGATTTGCTTATTAGGCTCTGTTCCATCAATGTGACATGTGATTACATCAATTCCCTTGCCCTGTATTATAAACTGTTCCAAATTATATACCGAATCATCGGCCTGAAGAAATAGTGACTTCTATAACCATATATGGCATTAGCTTAGTCATAGCTATCAATTTGGCTCTTTAATCTAGTATTTATATTACAGGCTTGTGACTTGTGGGCAATTGCCCACATCTTTTGCATTAGACTGGTGGGCAGTGGCCCACATCTTTTGCAAAAGACTGGGTATACCACCTGAAGCCGAAGGCGATAAGGCTTAGAACGCGGGGAGGAGTCGGACGAGAGCGGAGAGCGAGGCAAGAAACGTTAATAACGAAACTGAAGTACAGGATCGTAGAGTACGAGTATTTATACTAAGTGGTAAACATAAGGCATATGACCTCGCAGGGAGATCCGATGTGGTCCGCAGGATCTCCCTGCGGGTTAAGTACAAAGGCATAGTAAGTAAGGGGAACGAGAAGACATACACAAGGCAAAGGAAACAAGGTGAATGCCTAACGGATATAAGTAAACAAACCAAAGTCCAAATGGGTAAAGATCCGAGTTGATGGGCGGAGAGTCTGAACAGGTCCGAGAGAGTCTGCGTGCAGATTAACTGTTTGAAGGGAAACGCTCAGATACCTTCATCGCGTAAAAACCCTGTTGCGCTCCAAGGATAACCCTCGGAGCGTCCGAAGATGCACGGGATATAACAGTACTCCCCCGTTAAGACTCTCGCCCCGAGAGTCATAGAACCATCTAGAACAAAACGTGACCTGCCGGTGATTGCCGAAATTTTCACCATATAAGGCGGCGGAGAAACCGACCATTGCCATCAATTTCCCCCATGTCGTCCGCAGCACCAAACCGCCAGCCACCCAACAACAACAACCAAGGGCCGAGCAAAAAGGCCGCCCCAAAGAAGAAGTCCCGCAAGGGCAAGGAGCCGGCTAGAGAGGAGGCACCCAGCGATTCGGACGGGCCGAACGAGGCCGAGCTGCCACCAGTCGGTGCGTGGCGGATCGTCCGAAGTGAGCCGTACTAACCCAACTCAACAGAGTGTAAACGCTGCAGTCGTCGACCAACAGCGGACAGAGAGCAGGAGCCCTGCGTCGCTGGACCGGGCCGGCGTGCACGCGGTGTCGCCGACAGAAGCAGAAATGCGACCTGCGCGACGCACAGGAGGCCCGCCGGAGGCTCCTTGAGCAGAGGTTCGCCTCGGGTGGAGGCTCTCGCTCGGAGCTTGCGCGGCTGCGCCGAAGGGTGCAGGACTTGGAGGATGGGTTGGGGGTGTACGGCGAGGGCGTCAAGAGTATGACGATGGAGTTGAACGCGACGCAGAAGTCGCTCGCAGGGTTCAACCAAGCAATAGTGCGTTATCGGATGTCAACGGAGTATCTGAAGTACTAACCAACCTTTAGCGCGACAACAAGGAAGATATCGACAACTTGTTGTCGTATGCGCACGGCAACCAAAACGCCATATTGACGTTGGCGCCGCAACCATAGCGACGAAAATGTCGAAAACACCGCCTACGAGTTCGTCGACTATGACGTGGCATACCGAACTAAGGTCGCGGGGCGGGTTCGGCAACACTCGGAGGAGCCCGAGCACCAGTCGCAAGAGGCGTACGAGGCGCGGAGGTCCCGAGCCCGGGCTCGGCTTTACCGCAACCAAGCCGACCTGCGCGAGCGGTTGAACATAACCGACCGAGAATACGACGCGAACTGGCGTGATAGGTTGGACAAAGCAAGACGGGAGATGGAGCACAAGCGCCACAAGGCAAGGAGGCTTGAGGACGAGAAGGAGGCAAAGCGCAAGGAGAAGCCGGCGACCCCCGAACCCGAGGCTGAGCAGCCTCCAAAGAAGAAGTCGAAGAAGAATTCGGAGAAGGGCGGAGAGGCCGATAAGGGCGAGGGGTCGTCCAAGGGACCAAGACAAGGGCAGTAAATAGAATAGCCCAATGTAAATAGAAGACCGCAAGAAACCAAGTGCCGAAAAGACCAGAGTGACCAAGAGTAAGAAGTCGGAGTAAGACGGAGAGTCCGAAGGGCATTAGTAGTCAGGCCCAGGTTTCTGAGGATACTTCTTGTGAAAACTCTCGATCAGGTCAGGAGCATCCGCAATGTCGTCAGCGCCAACCCAGGAGTATTGCTCGTCAGTGTTTTCGAAACCAAGCCATTCGACATAGTAGCGGAGTCTAACTCGGCATCTCCGATCGATCTTAGAATCAACAATCTCTTTAACTTCCCATTGTTCTTCACCATCTACCTCGACCGCGGCCCGGGGGCTCCGGTTCGCGATCAGGGAAGGGGTTAGGAATGGAAGTTTCGAGCTGAGATACGTGAAAGACTGGGTGAATGGCTCGCATATTTTTTGGAAGATGTAGCGTATATGAAGCAGAACTGGGTTTCGCAATGATTTCGTAGGGGCCAAGGAATTGTTCAGAGAACTTCGGAGTTGGTCGGGTCGTCCGAATGTACTTCGCCAGGACATAGACTGAGTCGCCAACTGCCAGGTCAGGTTGGGGAATCCGCTTTCGATCAGCAGTCTCCTTATACCTTTCCTGAGCAGAAGTAATTTGTTCGCGTAGGAACTCGTGAAGCGATTGAAGTTCGACAGTGTAGTCTCTAGCGGGAATGTTCGGAACGTCCAAGTCAGCATTGACCGTAAGAGTTGGATTATAACCCTTGTTAGCGAAGAAAGGTGAGATGCCCGTGACGCGTTAGGAGGCGTTGTTATAAGCAAACTCAGCTAAGGGTAAGAGTTGGTCCCAATCATCTTGCTGGTATGAAGTGTACATGCGAATGTACTGCTCGAGGGTTTGGTTAGCACGTTCGGTTTGTCCGTCAGCCTCCGGTGGTAGCCAGACGTATAGTGCATCTCCA